AGATATTTCTAATAAAGATATATATAAAGGTATAATCTAATAAAGATCTAATAAAGATAACTTGAAAATAATTTTAAGCTAGAGAAAATTATAACTAAAATTCTAATATTTTATATGCTATTTTTGCTTAAAAAATTATCCATTTGAAAAATAGAAATAATTCTTCTAAAGTTTTTTATTTACATTGAAATTTCCAATTTTAAACTCTAAATGTTGAAATAAATTAAAAGAAATTTTTTCTATGACGCTCACGAAATAACCTTTCTTTTTATGATTTGGTCTTAGACTAGTATTATTATTTTCTTATTCGGTCTTATTCTTATATGACCTTCATATCTTTTCATCGAATTCTTATTGAGTCGCATTAGATCTATAACATTCTTATTTAATCTTCATTCATACATCCTTATCAGATCTTGTTCCAACGCTAGATTCTATTGCAATCACTAATAATTACAGCTTGAATTCAGAACAGTTATAAAATATTAATTTTACACCAAATTATTTTGAATAAAAAAATAATTATATAATGTTTAGGCAAATAATCAGTTTTGCAAAGAAACAGTAAACTTTTAAAAAAAATTAACACTTATTGCTGCTAATGATGTATATTTATTTTGTGAGAAGTGAATAAGGTGAAAATGGAAAAAAATACAGAAAATAAAAAGTTAAGAAAATATTCCAGAATGAATAAGGGGACAAAAAATTATTATTTATGTTTTCTTTCTTTCTTTAAGTATGGGTATCGCATTGACATACGTCACCAAACGATGAAACGATATTTTTAGAAAGGGGAACGTCTAATATTTATAGAAAGATGAAAAGCAAAGAGAAAATAAATTTCTTTAACGGTTGATATATGCCTCAAAATACATTTTGGGAGGCCTTCCAACATTTTTTAGTCCAACTTTCATTTCTGATTGATTGTAATTCTTTCACTTATTTTATGAATAACTCCTAAAACTTTTTATTTATGGTCATGAAATTGCTTCAGGCTATTTTTCTTACTTGAGGCACGTAAGCATTACACACAAACATACATACTATATATATATATATA